ATATATGTAGTATATTTTTGTTTGTTTTGTCAAATAGTGGCTCATTTTACTTAATAAGGATTTATGGTTTGTTTTTCCCTTTCATCTATACTTTTTGATATTAAACTGATAAAAATATCTGTGATATTTGTTCCAGATGAATGATATACATTTCATTAACTCTAAAAGAACACAAATTGCCAGATGAGAAGGGAAGTAGATAGCTAATGCTAAGTAGTAAAATGTAGTCATGTGAACTGAGGGAATGAGATGTGTTTGTGTATACATACAGAATATATACTATATATAGATATATATACACACACACACATCAATACACACACACATATATACATCAATACTTTATAACTTGTTATCCACTAAGATACATAAAGAATTGGATACTAGTACATTTTATGCATTACTTAGGTAGACTAACAAGATGTCCCGAATGTTTGTTATAATCTGAACCATATAAAGGCCCAAAACACCAATCTGTATTGGGTGAACTAGGCCACTCTGGCCTCACTCATCATTTGCAGCCTGACAGTTCACATGTCCCAGAGCATGGAAGCTTAGAGCAAGTCTATTAATTATAATGACCATATGAATTTTTTAGTGGATAATACCATTTGAAAACAACAATTCTGCAAACGGAACTTTTGGGTAAATTATTTGTTGCACTTCTTATCCTTTTATAATTTAATAAATGTCATGTTCTTGGTCAAGAGTGCACATCTTAATTATGTCACCCTTCTTAGGTGAAAATAAGATACATACTAAACAAAAAGTAAAGTCTGCCTATACTTTTTTGTTGCTGGTCCTGGTGCTTGAACTCAGGGTGCTGTTTTTCCTCAAGGCTAGCACCAAGCCACTTCAGCCACAGCTCCAATTCTGGCTTTTCTACTGGGACTGGTTTCGAATCATGATCCTCAGATCTCAGCCTCCTGAGTATCTAGGATTAGAGGCACGAGCCACCAATGCCCAGCTTATACTTGTTTAATTAGATAAAACTTTATCTCTTTTTCTTAAAGCTTAAATGCACACAAGAAGTTTCACATTTTGGATCTACATCATTAGTTCAGGATCAAACTGCCAAAATAAAACATTTTCTTAGATTTTGAAAAACTGCATTCCATATCACAATCATCAAAAATAATGAAGTGTTCAGTAATGTGTCATAGTTGTTAATTGACAGTTGACGTGTAACAATACCTGTCCTCTCCTCAGATCTTCACTTTGGGGAAAGAAAAAAAATCCTGAAAAGTAGTAAACGATAAAACAGGAAAGGAAAAGGAACTTAATGAAACATTTTTCAAAAACCATAATCATAGTTTAATAGCACATTCTCCTATAGACAAAATGTGAAAAATCTATGCAATACTGATATAGAATAGAATCTCTGTACTATATTCTATATCATTCTATCCTGAGTACTATACAATCTTTTGAAGTTAAATGATTACACATTCACTAAAGATTATCTCTAATACAAAGCTATCATTTTTATGATCAAGTATTTAGTCAATATTTTCAATGGTTTTTAGGTATTTTTTTTTAAAGGATGTCAAGATGGCTGTTTCTATCCAAGACATTATACAAAACACACTATTTAGATTATAAACAATGTGCTGTATTGAGACTATTTTTATACAACACATTTCAACAGTACAAAAATAACTCCTTAATTTTATTATTTTTGAAGACTGCTTATATTTAGGTCTACTATCATTTACACCTATTCCACTGCAATTGAAAAAAAAAAAGGATTGTTCAAAGACCAAATTATGATTTAGTAAATGTTGTCCTTGACAGCAGTGGTAAGGAATTTGTAGAACAGACAAGCCACAATTGCTTGATACCTATATCTTCTAAACAGTTACATATTCAGAAACATACTAGCATCATTAAATAATTCACTAAAGAACTCTTAATTCACTTAGACCATTTGAGAAATGATTTTTTTTTTAATCTTGCACCAACCCTCACTTTGCTTACATAGTACTTCCTTTATTATCCTAAATTTGGGTCTTTAAACATTTGGCCTAGTTCTAGCCTATCATATTCTGACCCATGTTTGAGTTCAACCACAAGGGTTTTTTTGTTTTGAACACCATGAGATTTGTGTGAGGTCTTAAAAGCAGGAAGGCTGGTGTAAAGGAATGAAGAAAATGCCTGTGTTTGTGTTGTTAGTGTTGGCATTTAGGTTTTTAAAAATTGTTAATATTTCAATGTATGATTAAAACAGTAAGAACAGGAATAAGATTCATAATCACCCTGTTCCTAACCTTATGATTCATTCAGCAGACATTTATTGAGTCCATAACATGCATGTGCCAACACTGTATTAAATGCTGAGGATACAGAGAGGAAGAAAAGTCTGTGCTTTCAAAAGTTCACAATATACTAAGGATGAAACCCTAAATGTAAATTCCTATGCAGACAATCTTGAAATTTTTTAGCCTGGAGAGAAAAAGTTTGACATATTTGCTCAAGTAAATAACTATTATAAAATGATGTTACCCGGATAAAATACAATTGTTCTCTGATGTGAATCTTCTGAGGAAGACAGGCATAATGTGTTATCAATACTAGATCTGGGTGAAAACTCTCCCAATCCTTCCTTCATTGTTTTAAATATTTCCAAATTGTATCAGAAATAATGAGAAACAGGTGAATAACCAAGTTTAACAAAATATCTAAAGGCAATTTCTATAAGTTTAGTTTTAATAAATCTAGGCAATGGCTGGCTCTGTTTGACATACCTTATCCAGAATAGCAAAAAAATTATTTGAAAATGGCAAATTGTGAAATCCTATTTGCCAGGTCTTGGAAAAAATGACAGTAACTGAAATAAGGCTTTACCAAAGACATCTCTTATAATACTTTGTTTTTGAAAAAAAAAAAAAAAAAGACGCATGACCTCTAAACATTGGTATATTTATACACTGAATTTTTCCATAAAACATCCTAAAGCACATGAATTGTATCCACTTGGCTTTGAATTATGGTTCTTTCATTTACTGTTTGTTAATGTTTGTGCCCTTAACTACTGAATTTGGTTTCCTAATCTGTAAAAATGGGAACTATAATCTCCCTGCTGGGTCACAGGAAGGATAAAATGAAATAGCATGTGTAACACAGTAGCTAGTAGATGCCAAGTAAATATTCATTTTGCACCTTCCTTTGTCCAAATGAATGCTATGCAAAAGAGGGATAAGGTGGAATTTTAAATGACTTCCCCTAAATATTAATACATAACAAACAGAAATGGAAAACTAGAGTTGCAATTGTTAATATCTGTGTCTAAAAATCAGGCTCAAAGCAAATTCAATTTCTTTCACAGGTGAACCCTTTGAGGACATTTTCTTATCTTTTAAGCTGTATTTTAATGTAATTTTTTTCTGAAGGAAAAATAAAGGAGAGGCCAAAGATTTTTAGGACTAGATAGGTAAGAAAACGAAATTCTGCCAGACTTTAAAAAAAAAAAGAACAATTTACTTTTCCCCCCAGGTAACACATGAATTCTTATTGAAGTGCAGCATTTAGTTTGAGGTTTTAAAAACATGATCCAAGTACCAAAATATTAAGCACCACTCGTAAGCACTATTACAACTCTGCTTGCTTTAAGGAGAACAAGTAAATATTTTTATCCAGCAGTGGGGGCGACTGGATGGGGGGGGGGAGGGAATTGAAAAGCGATATGAACCCTTTCCCCCTCCTCCTCCATCATCCTTGAGAATGCAAGTGTCCCGCATCTCAAAGCAAAGTTAGCTTCAGTTTTACTGACGTAACCAGTAACCCTATCCACCTCTCATACTGCGGAGGCCGGCAGGGCAGAGGCGGCCGCCAAGTACACCACTCACCAGAGCCTGCCCCATTCCACCCCCGCGTTTCACTCATGCTTTCCAGAAATGGGGTCACTCACTCTGTAACTATTACACGCAGGTAGCCTATCATCTTGTAATTCCCCCAAAGTCGGCTGCGAGAAAAGAAGGCAGCAAAAAGTCAAGGAGGAAGAATCACAGACGCACCACCATCAGGAATTGATTTTCCACTCTGGAGAGGAGATGCCCTGGAATGGGGTCTCGTCTGGATTATTTTCACAGACACTGAGTTGGTTCTGGGGCAGAAGACGAACACGAGTCGCTCAGTACTGTGATGTGTCCGGGGGAAATTGTTTTGCCCTGGTGGGTACATTATTTGGGGAATTTGATACTCGGGTGGGTGTCTTAGGGACGGTCACCATAGCCCGGGCAAGGAAAACCAGAAAGCCCTTAACTGCGGTCACTGATCTCCTGGAAATGTCACCCACTCACCTCCACGGACTGGAAACTCAAGTTAAAGTCGCTGGGACAGGGGTCCTCAGGCTCAGCAACCTCAGAAACCAGGGGAACCTTTTAGGCTTCTACTTTTTTTTCCTCTGCAGCAGTAGCAGCAGCAGAAATCGCTGCGGTAGATGGGGAGGGTTTCGAAACCCACGGCAGTCCCGCACCCCTTATTTAAAATCCTCCCTGGTGGCCACCCTGGCCCCCACGCGCCCGTCTCCTGAAGCCACCCCCACTCCCGTGGCCGGATCGGAATTTCTATTCCCGAATGAAGCCAACCCATACTCCTCTCTCTCATTCCTCCAAGTCGCCAAGGTCCGGGGAAGCCACCGATCCCACAGGGGCCAAACTTCCTAAGTCCCCGCCGGCCCCCACTCCGCCTCCTGCTTCCCCCCCCCACGCAAAGTTGATTAAAATCGGCTTCTCGCAAAGCCTCCGCGCCCACTCCAAACCCCACGCGCCACCACACCGGCAGACCCCAAAGCGAGGGAACGAGGTGAGGGTGCGGGTGGGAGGAAGAGACAGACGGATACACAGATGAACCTCAAAACCCCAAACCCCTTATCCTGTACCGGGGAAAAGGTGGAGGGGGGGGGGAACGGGACACGGGACCCAATGGCCAGCTCCGGGAGAGCGAGCCGGGAGGGAGTGGAAGAGGGGGCGCGCCGGCCCTAGGCGCCCCGCTGTACTCACCTCAGCGCTGTCGGACGGGCTCTCCACAGCCATCTTCTGCCACGGGTCCGCCAGCTGCGCCAGCGGCATCTTCCCCCCCGGCCCGCCGCCTTCACCGCCTCCTCCCTCCCCGCCCGCCCCGCTCTGTCGCCGCCCGAGCCCCACGGCAGCGGCGGCGACAGCGGCAGAAGCCGTAGAACAGCAGCAGCGGCGGCGGCGGCGGCTCCAGAGAGAGCTCAACGCCGTCACTGACCGACTCAAAGCGAAGCGCCTGGCCAGAGCCGCCCGCGCACCGAGCTCACAGCTTTGCGCCGCCGCTGGGCACACAGGCTCGCCCCTTTCTTCCTCTCCTCCTTCCGCCGCCGGGACTACAGCTCCGCCCCCTACCCCGCGCCGGTTCCCGCGCCCGCTCCCCCAGCAGAACAGCGACCGCCGCGCGCTCCCCTACTTCCGCTCACAACATGGCGCCTAAGCGATACCTGTCTCTCAGAGCGAGGCTGGGCCGCCGCCGCCACCGCCGCGCGCACCCAGGGGCGGGGCTAGAGGAAGCCACGCCCCAGGCGCCCCTCTCCCACCCCACCCCTCCCTTCTTGCCCCAGCCTCAGCTTCTGGGCCGCGCCTACTTTCAGGAAGGGCGAGCCCAAGCGATCTGGGGGCGTCGGCGGGAGGCGAAGGAAAGGAATGGGAAACGCAGGAAGGGCGAAAAGCGGAGAGCGCCTTTAATTGCCACGAGGCTAGGCAGATAGGAGGCTCCCTGGGATGGAGAGAAAGTGGTCCCTGCCCAGCTGGGGAGGATAGGCTAAGGCGCCAGGGCGGGGGCGGGGAGGGGGGGCGCTCCGTCCCTTTCATTTGACCCAGGGCAGAGGCGTGAAAATGTCTCTTTGGCTTTTCTTCTCCAGGGTGTGCATCGAGTTGGCGCACCTACTATGGGGACACTTACCCTGATGACCCAGGTACCCACCCTTTCAGGGTCACAGTCAGGGCATTCACCTGAAACCCGCCCGCAACTCCTGCTCCGACAGGGACTGGAGTGGCTTTGTGCAGGGCAGCGCTGGGAGGCTTCTGGTTTCATCAAGGCTCTCCAAGTTGACGCTCTCGTGTTAAATTTTTGGTACTTGGGGCGTCTTTATTTTTTGTCCCCCAAGAGCCCTCTTGCCCGCTATCAAACCCCTCCCCAAGTATGTAGAGTCTTCAGCGTCGCCCGGAGCATCGGCATGACCCTCCCTACTTGAAATCTTCAAAGAAACATTGGGAGGTTTCTTCAGGTTGCCCTTCTCGGCAGAGATTGCGGAGTTAGTAAAAAATATCTTGTAGGCTGGAGCGCGGGGTTCTTGCTCCACTGTTGACTTGAAATAAAAATTTGGATTTTTTTTTTCTTAAAGCGGGCGGCTCGTGGGAGGAGGAAAAAGGGAGGGCAGAGTGCTGACTCCTCCTCCTGCCCCACAAGGGGGAAGCCCTGGCTTAAGGAAACCCAATCCTCAGATGGTGATCAAACCCCAGAATACGAGAGAGGTGGAAGATAAAGGCTTGAGCATGCGAAGTGGGTCCTGGGAAGGCCCCAGGCGGCCATTGGTGGAGCCAGGTGTCCTGGCATTCAGTGCATGTGGAAGTGTGTAAAAGTCACCGGCTGAGTGGAAAGCTACTGCAGCCCCTGGCTAATCGCCCTGCTAGGCGAAGGAAAAAAAGCCAAGTGAAATCTCCCAGCCGGCCTGCCTCCCCCGCCCCCCCAGTCCCTAAAACCTTGGCGGCAGCATCCTAGTCCTCCCACGCCTGGCTACCACAGCGCGTCCCCCCGCTGATGCATACCTTTAACAGCTGCCTTTAATCATCCCAATACTCCAACACACCTGGAGAGCCCTCGCCTTCCTCCTTCATGCAGGTGTAGGAATGAGATTAGAGACCCACACCCAGACGGCGAGATCTGTCTGTAGTGGTACCGCAAGGTTTCTCGCAGGGCTCAGGCTAGCAAGTGTTGGACTCTTTAGAACTGCCTTCCCCAGCTTACATTTTTGCTTTGGCTTCCAGGCCTGGGAACCTAGAGGCCATGTGAAAAGGCTCTAACGGTTTTCAGGGAGCATTTGAAGGCAGCTGAAATCTTTGCTGTCCGACCTCTTAGTATTGGACTCAGCTCTGGTTCAGCAGTAACTGTAGTGAGTAATCGGGGAGTGGATAGATGGGGCTAACTAAGGCTCTTGTGGTTGCCATTTCTCTCAACATACTTGATTCGATTGCTGCAAATGCAACCTGGCCCCAAACTCAGCTCATTTGGCACCACCGTCTTCGTGTAATGCTAGACAACAAAACGTGCTGGAAGGAATTTGAAGTCGAGTTGGGTATTATTTTGCATTTATGAACAGACCATCGAATTTCTCTTGATTTACATTGCCAAGCTATATTAGCATGCCTTATGGTGAAAAGGAGTTCATCAATTTGGTTTGAGGTAAATTAGCTCCCCAGTGATCAATTATTCCAGTTAACTTTGTTGCTTTAGTAAAAACAGACATAGTTGAAGAGACGGTTATTATGTATCGAACACTCTCCAAAGCTAATTAATCTACCTAAAGTGTGAAATAACCTTGTAAAACTAAAGCATATTGTAGGCCATTTTCAGTATCAGCTTTTACTCATTTGTTTACCTTGTGATCCAACAGGAATAACTTAAACCAAGTTAACTGATCTGTAAAAGTAATGTAAACAGGGATCACAATGCTGGGAATCAAACATTAAATGGACTGTGAATAATGGGTTAAGGTGCCAAGGTGTCATGCATATAGAATCAACTTGAAAACTGGGCAAACTGATGTAGAAATACACTTTTTCATTTTTCTCCAAAAGAAAAGAAAGTGATTTTTTTTTTTTTGCGGGAGAAGGGAGAAAAGGTTAACAAGAAGTCCTTTTTTGGGTCTGGTTGTGGGGCCTGGGCGCTGTCCCTCAGCTCTTCAGCTCAAAGCTAGTGCTCTATGACTTGAGCCACAGCGCCACTTCCAGCTTTTTTTTTTTTCTTTTTACTTATGTGGTGCTGAGGAATCGAACCCAGGGCCTCATGCATGCCAAGGCAAGCACTCTACCACTGAGCCACCTTCCCAGCACAAGAAGTCCTTTTTAAACAAAAAAATTTCTTCTATAAATGCAAGAGTGATGATCCAACCATTCTCCTTGGAAATTTAGAAACAATCAAATGATGCTGGAGGTGTGTGTGTATGTGGTGGTGGGGGGTGTCCTGGGGCTTGAACTCAGGGCCTAGGGGCTGTCTCAGAGCTTTTCTGCTCAAGGCTAGTGCTCTACCACTTGAGCCACAGCTCTAATTTCTGCTTATTTTTTGCTGGTCAATTGGAGGTGAGAGTCTCATGGACTTTCCTGTCTGGGCTGGCTTTGAACCATGATCCTCAGATCTCAGTTTCCTGAGTAGCTGGGATTACAGGCCTGAGCCACCAGTGCCAGGCTGAGGCTGGAGGATTTTTAAACATCATAGCTGATATTACCCTAAGGAGGATTACCTTTTTCCCTAGCAAAACTCTAAGTGTAGCTATTTAAAAAATAGCTGCCCCCATTACTAGATTTGCTCAGTTGGTGACTAGCAGCCACAAGGAACTACTGACCATTAAAATGAGATTGGCTGATTGAAATTGAGATATAAAAAGAAAAAGGAACTGAGATGTGTTCTAAGTATAAAGGCCATACCAGATCTCAAAAACTTATTTAAACAAAAGAATGTGAATTATATATCACTAATAATTCCTATTTTGAGTACATATTGACATATTTTGAGTCAGTTGGGTTAAATAAAATGTTTCATTAAAATTTATTTCATTTTTTGGGCATGGGCAGAGGGTTAAATAAGGTCTCACTTATTACGTAGACAAGACTGGACTCCAACTCAGGATCCTCTTGCCTTTGCCTCCTGACTGCTAAGATTGTAGACATTCACCACCATTCCTGGCCTCTAATTTCACTTTTTTTAGTGCCAGTCCTGGGGCTTGAACCCAGGCTCTGGGTGCTGTCTCTGAGCTGTTTACTCAAGGCTAGTGCTCTACCATATCAGCCACAGATCCATTTCTGGCTTTAAAAAAAAAATAGTTTAATTGGTTGGGGTTGGGAAGGTGGCTCAGTGGTAGAGCGCTTGCCTTGCATGCATGAGGCCCTGGGTTCGATTCCTCATCACCACATAAGCAAAAAGAAAAAAAGCCGGAAGTGGCGCTGTGGTGCAAGTGGTAGAGCACTAGCCTTGAGCTGAAGAGCTGAGGGACAGTGCCCAGGCCAAAAGTTCAGGCCCCACAACCAGAAAAAAAAAGTTTAATTGGAAATAAGAGTCTCATGGACCTTACTGCCTAGGCTGGCTTTGAACCTTGATCCTCAGATCTCAGCCTTCTGAATAGCTAGGATTTACAGACTTGAGTTACAGGCATGAGCTATCAGTGCCTGGTTCCAACATTATTTTTTGTGTACTTACTATAAATGTAGCCTTACAGATGTGGCTTGTTTATAAAGAGCTACGCCAGAACAGCCCTGTTCTAGAACTGTCTTTCAACATTGACCCTTGTATTCCTACAAGCCCTATAACCTTAAGTGGCATCTCCAGATTTCTGTCTTTTTGGCGTCCTGAGTTGCAACATCAGCAGCAAGGCCTAATTTGGTTATCTCCTGATCTCCCTACCCCAAGACTCCTGAACCAAAATATTGGAAAGCAGAGAAAACAGCAAACCTCAGTAGAAAAATCTAAACCAAGTTTCCAAGAAATCATTCCTTATGTATGACAGGACAACTAGATTTAACCTCCTCTGCCCCCAACAATTTCCTACTATAATTATAACCTTTGTATTCCAGTTTAAATGGGCATTTAGTTAACAAAATAACATTTGTCCCAAAATGGAGTTAGCTCAGTCTGGAAAAGTTGCAGGACGACTAACTATGGCTCATGGTGCAAACTCTACCTCACATCCAACTTCACAACTCTACACATATAGATATGCCTATGTATAAATATTTTCTACTCTAGAAAACTCATGAAGCACGATCATCAACTCCTCTGTTTACATTATCTGAACCATATTTATTTTTCAGCAAGGAAGTCATCACTAGAGGTTATTTAACTATTTCTTTTCCTAGAGAAAACAAGGTAAGATTTAGGCCTATTTTATCTGACATCATGCCAAAATACACAATGGCATGTGTTTCATGGATATAGAATGTTTTTATTTGAAACTTCTCAAATAAAAAGTATTACGAATATTTTTCCTAACCTTGGATGTCACTTAGAGGCATAACCCTCTCTTCACCTGAATGAGGTCTTGGCTTCAATCTCTGACACTGAAAAAGAAAGAACAAATGAACAAATAAACACAAGAAAGGAAGGAATAAATTCCTGATTGACACACATCTTAAGAAAGAACAGGAAAGATCTATTTGAGGATGTGAGGGAGATCTGGTTGCAA